GGGGCTGGAACGCAGGACTCACTCCCTGGCTCACCCACCCGCGCCTCCCTCCGGAGCCGGATAGGCCAGATCACAGAGACGAAGGGACTCTCGAGCCAGAGCGGCCCCGGGAAGACCGCGGGGTGGGCGAGGGGGCGGGGCCGAGCGGCCGCTGTGGGAGGACTGGGGACTGGGAGAGGAGGCGAGAAGTCGCGGAGCCTAAGGTCAGAGCGGCCATGGGAGGACTGCGGAACCCCAAACCCTACCCCTCCACAAAAGGGACTTCCGGAAACTTCCCCGCCCATTTGTACCCAGAAGCATGCGCAGCATCGATCGGCTTGGCCTGTGAAAAAGAGAGGATTGCACATGCGCAATGCTAAAATTGTAACCCAAGCTCGGGGTGCAGATGCCAGAGCAAAGTATCCGCCACTGGAGGGCGCCTCTATCTCTGACTGGGGAAGAGGTCAAACTAAGAGAGCGGTGCAGTACAAGGCCTAAATGATTCATATTTTCGGGTGCTCTCAGATTCTGGGTCAGGTTATGCAGGCCTCTCCCAAAAGGCCATTTCACAGATGGACACACTAAGGTCCCGAGTCTGGAACGGTTCTTGCTCAGCCGCGTCTCTGAGCATCATCAATGTAAATAAAAGAGGCCATCTTATAGATACAAACTCAACGAATCCTCTTTATTTTGGCAAGAAGGGGAAAAAGTCTTTCTACCGGGGACCTGAGGGAGGTCCCCCGGGATAGAGATGGGGTGACAGAGCACGGGTCCGAAGTCACAGATCCAAGGGAAGTTTTCAGAGTCACGGCCAGCTTCACAGTATCCGTCCCAGGAGCAGTGGCTGGGGGTTGCGGAGTCCTCCTGGCGCGTCCACGGGCTGGGTCCCGGCGATCCTCACTGGAGTTCCGGGTTCCGGCGGGGTCAAAGGTCTCGGAGGGGGCCAGGGGGCCGGAGGTCACGGAACAGCGGGAGCCCAGAATCCGGCGCTCGGGGCAGGGGCTGAGGGAGGGGACGGGGAGAGCGGCTCCCGCGGGACCGTTTGGCACAAGAGTCAGGGGGAGGGGAGGAGCGGGA